CAAGCTGATCCCAAACTGCACTGCATGGAAAAATGAATGGAAACGAAGGGAGCAGAGATAGCAAGGGAGGGCAACTCTTTCAGCAAGTTGGACTCTGAAACACGTAAGAAGAGAGTTGGAGAGGGAGAGAAAATTAGTGAAAGGTCCAGTGTCATGCCTAGTGCCACCTCCCCCCACCCCTACCCCACTGCTACTGCCCTCCAAGAACGGGGGAGACTTACCTGTGTCCACAGGCTGAGGACATGGACAGAAATACAAGAGAAATACAAGGGAAATGGACGGAAATACAAGGGAAACAGAAATACAAGAGGGAGAGGGAATCATAGCCAGATCAGTGTTCGGCAGAAGGCAGGAGGGGATGAGGACAAGAACACAAGGACGGGATTAGCTTTGGAACAATTGAAGAGTCAAAACTCTTGCTTTGAGGCAAAAAAGTGAATTTGGGGTTTTGCTAGAATTTGGTATGAGGACAGAGGACACAGAGATTTGAGGAAGCTTATTCCTAATGTTCTCTACTTAGGAGATGAAATAAGAGACCAAGTTAGGGATTACAAGAGTAAGGATTACAGGAGTGATATAGCGGCCTTGAAAAGAAGATACTATGAAGAATGGGAAAGGAAACTGATTAAGAATAAACTTAAGAACTATGGTTAAGAGTAGAATTCATGAGTTTTTAGTGGAGCTATTGGTAGGATTGTCAGATTTTATGCAGGAGAACTCAGAAGTCTGGGATAGTTTCATTGTTCTGCTGAGATGATCTAGGGACGGGGGTTAGTTAGAGAGGAGGTAGAGAAATAAAAGTGACCTAATGAAGAGTATTGGTGAGGAGGTGGTTAAAATGGTTAAGCATGGTGTCCAGACTGGGTGAAAAAGGAACTGACGAGGTCGGTGGGAAAATCAGAAGCAACTGTAGGTGATTAAGCAATTGTAGGTCTCGGTGACATAGAGAAGTCAATGCAAGGGGGTGAGGAAATGGGAGAGCTGAAAGCAGAATGGGAGAGGACTGCTGGGAATCCAGATTTCCCAAGCTGAGGATATTTCCGTGGGGGAAGGCAGCTGGTACAGAGGGAGCCAACCAAGCTCATTGGAGAAGAGGAAATTTGAGGGATGGCTGCATCTGAAGTCTGAATTATAAGCTCTGGGACAGTGGTTTCCTAAACTTCAGTTGGAATTTGTTCAAAGTGCAAATTTGTTTGGTCTGTGATGGGGTTTTGGAATCTGCATTTGAAGCTAACATCTTATGAGTGTGTTTCAGTGAATGACCGACATACTCAAAAACACTCATCTAGAAACTCCCACCACCTTCTCTTTAGGAGAGAAGAGGCAGGGAATGAGGCTGATCTCACCTTTTACCAATCAAAGGATTTTTTTTTCCCCCTCTTGGAGAAGTGGAGCCCCAGCTCTTTTCTTCAATGACTTACCCACACGTACTGATAAAGTTAATTATCTGCCCCGGCTAAATGACTTTCCCTAGCAACACCTTAGCAACTAACATCAGCTCTGCCTTAGGCTACAAAACTGGAAAGAGATTTCTTGAAGTCCGATATATTTTACAACAGAACAAAACATCTGAACAGGAAATTAAACAGAAAGTAAACTGGATTTTTTGTTAGGAGATGAGACGCAGACACACTAAACAGTTCACGGCAATCCATCAGAACACAATGGCCCAAATAAGAAACTTTTTCTTTATAGGTTCTACTGAAGTCCAGAGGAGAGAAAATGAGGGAACTCATTCCATGGAGGAGAAGAGAATTTAAACGGGCAGGAGAAGAAAGAGCATTCTAGATGAAGGGAAGGCTATAAGCAAAGATACTGAGTCAAGTCTGAAAGTGGGGGACAAGGGAACCCAGCTGGGTGGTGCTGAGAGCTCTGTCTGGACTCTACTACCAGTTCATGAAGGGTCTTAGAGGTCGCTCGAAGAACTTGGGCTGAATCACAGGGCACTGGGAGACTGTTAAAACACTTTTTATTCATAGAATAAATACTTGTGGAGCCAGGCACTGTCATGTGTGTGGAGGGATACAGTGGAGAGCCCTAGAGAAGGTCCCTGCCCTTATGGAGCGTGGAATCTAGTGACAGAGACAGATACCAAACAAATATGAAATAAAAAAATCAACCATATAAATGACTAGGTAATTATAAATCCTGAGACTATTAAGAGAAAAGGTATCAGATTCCAGGAGACCATATAAAGAGGGGCAGGATCTGTCCTAAGAAATCAGAAAGGGCTTCTCTGAGGAAGCAGTTTTGCACTGAGGTCTGAAGGATGCATAGGAGTTGGCTGGGAGAGGGTGGGGGGTGGGAGAGACTAAAGAATGTTGGATTCCAGGCAAAGAGAATCACACAGGCAAAAGTTCACAAAACAGAAAAGCCGTGGTAGTTAAAGTCCATGAGGGAAGGGGTGCATGGCCTGAGAGTCAGTCAGGCGGGACCTTGGGGGCTCCGTTAAAAATTCCATCTTTGTTCTGAGAGCCCTGAAAATCCACTGAAAAGGGATTTTAACCTTGGGATTGACGTTCAAATCTGCATTTTAAGAAGGATTATTCGGCTTCAGTGAAGAAGACAGATTGGAAGGGAGCAAGAGTAGAGACGGGCAGTCCAATTAGGAGGCTGAAAGATGATTACAAATCACACTGGTGTGGAGGCAGAGAAGATGGAGAGAAGTGGACAGAGTCAAGAGGGATTCGGAAGGTGAAACTAATGACTTGGTGATGGATTAGGTTTGTGAAGAGGGAGCAGAGGTCTGACGTGACAGCAGAGCTGGGTTGGGGCAATCTAGGTTGTGCAGTGGGATTGAAGGTTGATGGGCTGCTTCAAGCCTGCCGTCATTGCCTAGATGATGGGATCACCCCAGTGTAGTGAGAAGAACCCCATTTTGTTGTTCGTGAGGCCTGTCTTGAATGCTGGTTCTTTTTCCCTTACTAGTTATGGCACCTAGACAGGTAATTTTATAGGTTCCTAATCTGGAAAATGAGAGTGGGGAGAGAAAGTGGTCCTCATAGCTGACATGGTTTTCCTTTCAATGTTCCATAAACATTAACTATTACATCCCTGCCTGTTCCATGTCCACCTACCTCCACGTTAGATTTTAACAGGTTGATTCAATGAAAAGATATTCGAGAGCACACGTTTGGGCTATTGGACATACACTAAGCTTTGTGAGGACAGGAGCCATGTTTTATGTATTTCTGTGGTTTCCTGTACTCTGAGATAAAATCAGGTACACACTCATGAACCACTTAGTTTGTAGCATCTATCACAATTATAATTTGAAAAGATTCCTATAACTCTATTTAATATTTGTCTTTCCCACAAGATTGTAAGATCCACAAAAGCAAGCAATATGTCTGTCTTGTGTCTCAGAGCTGAGCGCATGGAGGGCCTTTGACATGAATAAATTTTTGTTTTCTCTGGTATCCACCGCTCAGCCCAGACTTGTCCCCAAGTCTACACTCAGTGGGATTGGATGACTGGGATTGTGCCCCCATTGAGGCTAACATGAGCTCCAAGACAGTACGTTAATACTGGAGATAATTTACTCAGGACACAGATGTGAACCTGAGTGTCACTTTTATAAGGAGGGCTGGTCAGCTGGATCAGGTGCCGTTGGGGGTCAAGGAGAGTGGGGGCTGAGGAAAAAGCATACAGTAATTGGCTTCAGCAAGGGGACACTCTCAGGTGACCTCTGAGAAAAGGTGTCCGGTTAACAGTGGCACCTGGAGTTCCAGCACAAGAACTGAGGAATAAGTGGGCTGCTGAGGAGGAATGGAGACCTCTGATGCAGATGGCTCCTCTGGGCTGTTTTTTAGAGATGTCAAAGAGAAAAAGCTGACCCAGAAAGCAAAGGAGATTGCTTTTTAAAATGTAGGTTCTTATGGTGTGTTGACCGCCAGGGAAAGGTGGAGTGGGGTAACGAATGCTTCTGAGAGCACCTGGGGAGGGATGTGCACACTGATGGGAGGCAGAGGCCTTAAGGCATCTCCAGTGTGGGCTTGGTCTTCATTACTGTGGTACCCAGGGCCAGCCCGAACCCACTGAGGGAGTGGAAGAGTCGGGGGACACCAGAGACCAGCCCAAGTGTTTTATATGAGTCATTTAATTTGATTCTAGTACCCCCTAGA